AATAAAATAAACTTTTGAAGTTGCGAACTCACTTCACTTATAAAGTAAAAAATGCTTTGATTGGAAACTTACTAGTGTCACGCGTGTAGTCCTCTCTTTGGGGTGGACCGAATTCTATCAGTCAAGTTTACACTGTGGCCACTATTCTAGGTGGCTCGCCATCACGGTGCACTTTGAATTGTTGGTATTAGATGGTTGGAAGTAATCGACAGGAAGCCTTGAATCTAGCTTTTATGATAGTTGGTGCTCACCAGTCAGTAAGGAGTATCTGCAATTCTGAAGAAAAAACTCATGTCCCTTCTGAGATTTGAACCTGTATCACACCTTTGAATGCTGCACTCAAAGAAGTTACCACTGAGGTATTAGGGCTCACAGTTGACTTCCTGTAGGACTGTATTGGATACTTTTAATGCATTTCAAACTTGACTGATAGAATTCAGGCTGCAGTAAACAAAGGACTAGACACATGACACAGGTTAGTGTCTAGTCAAAGTATCTAATACAGTTCTACAGTAGGTCAATCGTGAACTTGGATAGCTCAGTGGTAACTTCTCTAACTGCAGCATTCACTGGGTGACACAAGTTCGAATCTCAGAAGGGACATGGGTTCCTTGAAGATTGCAGATTCACCTTGCTGTCTTGTGAGTGCCAACTAGCACGAAACCTAGGTCCAAGACTTCATATTAATTGCCTACAACCCTCTTATGACAATAAAGTGAAAGTGCTGTCAAATTATCTGAATATAAATAAACCCCGTAAGTGATATGGTTTTAAAGAAAGACGCTTCTACAATTTTTTACGCATTAAAATTTCACTTTTTTCAATAAATTCTAAGCATGTCGCAAATACATATGTATAATTAGACAATATTTTAGAAGCCGAGTAGAACTTTTTATAACACTCGTTAGCTGCTGATAGCCCTAACTACCAGACAAACAAACGCATTATTAGCAAACATCAAATAACCGATCGGTTTCAATTGTTAATTTGAATTTAGACCAAATGAATTTAAATAGTTCCGCAACTTTTTTGTTTATTATTATACAGACAAAACTTTTATACATGATATCACCAGAATTTAACAATTTATGTGTCTCACAGTGTTACCTATAAGAACATAAATTGTAAATACTAATTAATACCCATACTTCATACAACTGGTTCCCTTGATAAATTTCGATGAAGAAAGGAAGACGGAATTTGCAGTATAAAATGATATCATTCTATTCCACACGTTCTCATCAGCTGCAGACTACCTGAAATTACAATGGTTATATAAATGATAATAACATACTTTAATGTTTGAGCAGTAGTAGAGAGGAGATACTATAAAATTGACGCATCCAAAAAAAGAATGAAAGCATTACAATTTTTAGTTTTAGTTTTCATCATCAATTTATACGCTCTCAAAGTTGAAAAGAGGGGGGAGGAGTAGGACAGAAAACAGAGAAATTGATTAACAGAAACAGTGTTAGCTTGTAGGTTCACATAGCAACTCCAAAAAACAAAGGCGGTTACAGTTTATGAGATTAAGATTTGTTCAGTGAGTTGAGATCACTGAATTAGATGACTAGTTATTGTAATCAAAATCAAAATTCAGTTACCAAGGTAGTGAGAGTTTAATCACACTCTCTTTCTGTATGCATAAGTCTGGTTTAAATCGTTTGATTGAGATCGCTTCGGCAAATCGTAGTAAATTTGCTGTCCTTTTTCTATTTAATATTTTGAAGGACTTAGAAATCTCTACAAGATGTCCGGTATCAACAATATGTCTGGTAATTGCACTCTGAGAATATTTGCTTCCTTTCAGGCATAGGTTTCTTGGAATATGTTCCGAAAACGGGATAGAAGCCCTTCTCTCTGTCCTTCCAATGTACTTGCTCCTGAAAGTGGATTATAGAAGGAGTGATTCTGTATACTAATATGAGTTTTACTGTCGGGAAGCTTCAATTTATTGCTCCTTTTAGTCTTCTGTCAATCTTTTGTGACACTCCATCTCCTTTGAATGGGAGACAAATAAACACTTTTTTCTTTTCTACAGTTGGATGCTTTTCCTACTTATCTTTTTCTCTGCTATACTTATGTATAAATCCTTTAGGGTATCCATTTTCTCTCAGGCATTTCTCGACGAAATCTAGTTCTTCTTCGACCTTGTTTGGTGAACATAGCTTCCTGGCTCTATTATTATCATTTATATAACCATTGTAATTTCAGGTAGTCTGCAGCTGATGAGAACGTGTGGAATAGAATGATATCATTTTATACTGCAAATTTCGTCTTCCTTTCTTCATCGAAATACCTATACTTCTCTCTCAGAAAATATATAATATAATATAATAAAATATAATATTACAAAGTTGTCACATTTGTGAGAAGAGATTGAGCTTCAAAACTCCCACAGTTAGAAAAGATGATGACAAGACATGCAGACTAACTAAACTGTGATACAAAAAGACTGGACATTGAAACTCCTTAATTTGCTTTGTAAAAATATAATAATCGCTTTAGATGCAATTGAACAGACAACTGAGTGGAACCAATCGACAGGCACCACCACCACTTTAGTGACTTATATTCAGTAGTTTTTAATAAGTCAGAATTTGGTAACACATCAAGCTAAAATATCTATATGGAATGTTTTGTTAATTTTGTTTTTCTCAGTTAATAATGCGTCATAGACATCAGAACATATGTTGACCAGCTGTTTTTAAATATGATAGATAAATTAGCACCTGGCTACAGGACGGTTTTGCCTAGACTTCAAGTGAGAAGCAGTAACCAGCAAGGTTCACCAGGTCAGGTGTGAGGAAAAACACTCGTCGAAGACACTGGCCAGTCATCGCACTGAAATCACGAATTGATATGAGTTGAAATTCATTAACCATTGGATCTTACGCCATTGGCTGAATGGTATATGAGTTGGCCTTTCAACAGGAAGGTCCTGAGTTAGCAGCTGTTTCGTCCTAGTTTGGAACACTTCAACAGTAAACACCCATGACCTCACCAACAATCAATCCCATAACCTCTGTGTTATGACGTCAACCTCGCTGACTATTCAGCTACTTAGGTCGGAGACACAAACAGTATTTTGAGTAATACCTTCGAAAGACTAATAATGATAATTTGTGTACCACAATGGGAAGTCCATTGAAAATGTAGTACAAGAAGAGATGACAAGGTGACGGGAAATGGAGAATAAATGTTGTCTAATACAGAATGAATGATGTTATTTGCAAACTATGATATCAATATGAGGTTTTGGAATATATTTTAAAAAATGTCTATTTTATTTTGTGACGGCAAACACTATTCCAACCCTCATCATTCTCATTCGCTTCAAGCCTAAATGCACGAGACAAGATACACTGCCTGTAGTAAACGGCATATTGTCATTACAAAGAATTTTTGCAGTTATTTAAAAGAGGGGAGCACTGGTCATTTTCAATCGAAATAAAAATATGAATTCCTTTCAGAATTTTTATTTATTTCAATGAAATTTTAGTGAAACACAAGCTGAATGATGTTCACCTAAGCCCTACAGTAACAGACAGTGATATTCATTCGCATGTTGATGAACACAATAAAAAGTAGAGCGAAATAGTCAATTATGTTTGAATTTATTGCGTTTAATACACTTATTGAACATTGAAATTTATGTAAAGATTGATTATATTTGTTTTTCTAAATAATAATAAATGCGGGTTACTACTTATGCCAATACTAATATTCAACAGGTTTACATTCTTTATAAGAAAAATATATTGCATACCTATGAGTCTATGAATTGAAGTTTTGGAAAACTTATTCGCTTTGATTATGTTTATTTGAATGCTTCATAAAATTTGTGATATAAAGAACTATTGTTTGAGTTTTGTCACCAGCCAATACATGTCTGTCTGGATTCAACATAGAACTTGACATCGAAGTGTAGCAGTTCGAGTTGCCACGTTCCAAATAGCACACAAAGGTAGACAAGAAGATGAGAGAAGAGAATCAATAGAGTTTTGACAAGTATAAGAGTGAAACAGAATGATGACTAATGGTAGAAAGGAATATGAGACTGAAGATTACAGAGACTGAATACATCTGCGTAAGCCATTGACAACGATTTCGAGCCATGTCACCTATTGTCTCCAGCCATTGATTCTTAGAGTCCCGAGGGCGGGTCCCAACCTCGAAGTCTGCATCTCCCTCCCTGCCTGACTCAGTTTAACTGACAGGGATTTCATGGATTGATGAGGCCATGTTTTGTTTGGCCACCACTTACTCTTCTCCAACCCGCACATATATCAATCAGCTAGTAATGCCCGTCCGTCGGGGGAGGCGATGGTTAGGCATGCGCACCACGTGACCTAGCCATCTCAATCTATGTAACTTTACAGCTTCTTAGATTGGTTTTCCCTCTTTGATCAACACTCTACGCCTAACGTCAACATTACTTACCTTATTATGCCACCTAACGTGAGAAAGAGATCCTAGACATCTATGATCAAAAACAGTCAACCTTTTCATGTCTTCAACTCGTATTGACCATGTATCAGCCAATACATACGATTTATTGTTTGCAATTTGTTGGTTTGTACTAGACTGATTGATTTCAGCTAACGGAGATCACAGTACAGGTCTCACTTCCTTAAACCAAAGGTGGCATCTTAAGCGCATTTTACTTGTACTAGGCTATGAGCCACACTTATTATTCTGTGAATTGCTAATACTACTACTCATTTGGTCAAGACTGAAGTGAATGTGAGAGTATTCGAACCTGAGGGCAACTGACTACGGTAAAGTAAAGAACAGCGTTTTATCGCTGTCCTGGAGTGGTGATCAAAATTGTTGGTGTTACCACCTATCTGAAGAGTCACAAACAAGACAAAACATGCAGCCTGAGTTTTGCTGTTAGCCCCACTAATTATCAATCACGTAATATGAATTAGTTGTGTTCTCTGAGCTGGCTGATGTAACTGAGAAGCTTTCGTAATCCTTCTAGACAACATCTTCAGCGCATGTTTTAGTATGGCATGAGTTTATTTGAATTCGCCATGAATGATGATATAATTGTATCTCATGACGACTTTTTTTCATCTAGTATACTGCTAAGAATTGTTTTCAGTGTTTTGGCTGTAAGTTCCAGCTCCGAGACACGAGGATTTCTGGAGGTTTTTAAAATTTTTTCACATTCTTGTAGAGCTGCGATTCGTAGGCAGGTTTCAGTCACATCCATTTCATTGTCAACTCCTAACCGTTGCAGTAAGCCAATCATAAAGTCTTTACTAAAGCCAAGATATCTTTTTTCAACCTTATAAAATGCTTCCTTTAATCGCCGAGTCAGTGCATAATTTTCTTTTTCCATTTTGGAGAATGTTGGTTCAAAAATAACTTGTTTTGCTCGAGAGGAGTTTCCCACTCTGCCAGCAGGAGCCATTGCTGCTGGCCATCTACTTCCAGCCATGTTTTTTGAATCAAACCGCCAATTGACACCGCATTCAATGCGGTGATTGGTTGTTAATTTACATCTCTGTTGATCATTTTTATTGACTTGACACCAATCAAATTGGTGTCCGTAATTATTCACATGCATTGGTATGACAGAATATATATAATGCCTTTTTACAGATAATTTGGGTTCTTCGAATGGGATTCTAAGGGGACGCCCACTTTGACCGATGCAGTGTGTTTATTGCAGTTCATACAGTTTATTTTTTGAATGGTATCCATTTTATCTTCTTTTTCTTTTGGACCTTCCAGTTTGCACCATATTGAATGAAGTGATTGTGCTGGCTAGCTTGTGTACTGTATCTATTTCAAATGGTCTTTCTTTCATTTCAATGTATGTAGATAATTATGGATACCAGTTATATGATCGGGATAATGTATTAATTTTAAATAGAAGAAACACCAAAATGAAGTGCCAGGGAATTTCTAGAAGCCTGGTACTCAGATGAATCAGTCAGCAATTAACAAACACATTAGTATAGACCAAATTTACCACCAGCTTATTAAAAATAAATCACATGACAAGAAAGTCCAAACTCCAAGTCAATAAAAATGATCAACATAGATGTAAATTAACAACCAATCACGACAAAAGAGGTCGTCAGGAGATAACATTATATCATCATTCATGGCGAATTCAAATAAATTCATGCCATACTAAAACATGCACTGAAGATGTTGTCTCGAAGGACGACGAAAGCTTTTCAATTGCATTAGCCAGCTCAGAGAATACAACCAGTTTAAAATCATCCAGTTGAGCTGCATTATATCAATCAGATAGCGTTATGTTGACTCCAAAGCATCATCTAGGCATTCGCACTACGTGCCTATATGTCAATAGATATCAAGAATTTCGTCTCAGCACAGTTAAACAATTCTAACTACAAAAGTCTCAGTAAATATTTCAATGTTAATGATTTTAAAAAAATCACTGATATAATGGTTTATTATGAAAATGCAAAATGCTGACATGAAGATCAGGAGTGCATTTTGTTTTGATGTCATTTTCCTATAATCGGTTGTTATCACAAAACACATGGCCAAAAAGGTAGGAAAACACCTTCTTATGTATCTACTAACAAGAAGCCTTTATTTATACGACTGCAGGTGGTGTACAAAGTGAAATAATTGCCAAAACGTTGAGTAGATTGATTCAAAGGTCTTGTAATGCTAAGAAACTACATTTCACACTTTCCACAAGACTGTTTGTGATTCTGAAACTGAAAGAAGAAGTACCTAGAAGAAGCCACTTCTTATTGGACCTATAATTTCATCAAGTGCTCTACTGGAGACAGTTTTATTGACCGTTTCTATAGAAATTTAATTTTTCATGCTCAGCAACACCTACCAGTGTGACTGAATAAAGGGGTGTTGTTAAAGCCATCAACAGTTCTATGGTAGATCACCTCGTTTAAACAAGCCATAAATAAGGCTAGCGCCTTGAATAGTCTTTCCTTATCATCTGTCGAATATCGAATACATTGCCAAAAGGTTTCTAAATACCCAACATTCCAAACAGCACAGGTTAATTGCAATTCGCTTGAAACAGTCGAAGATCCAAGCATTATTGCTACTCTGACTGGCTGTATTATTTTTCTTAATTTATCTAATATTGCGTTTAGTGGAATACTGATGTACATTATTACTTGTACATGACTTTGAACTGTAATCTATTGAAATTACCGATTCAGTGTTATTTAAAAAAACATTAATGTTCTTATTTAATAATAATTCTTTAATTATTATATACATATATGATTGTAGAACCTGATGAAGAAGTTATCGAAGAGAACATAATTTCAATTGTCAGTTTCCATGAATTTGATTAGCTACAGGATTTCATCATGAGCTCATATTGGTTAGAGAACCATAAAAAAACCAACAGGGAGTACTGCACAGCAGTTTCGTCACAGTTTGGGACTCTTCAGTAGTACTCACACACCGCAAGGATTCGAAACCAGGACCTCCTGGTCACAAGGCGAGCTCATAGACCATTAGGCAAGTGGGGCTCGATCGAATAGCCCATGAATTATAAATTCTGTCAATTCACGATATAGTGGGACCACTAGCCATTGTCATTGGTGAGTATTTGTCTTCACACCTAACCTGCTGTACCCCACCGATGTCAGCTCATGATGAGATCCTGTAGCCAATCAAATCCCTGCAAACCAACGATTGAATATCAATCTGATGCTCACTAGTGACTCGCCTCATTCACTTAGGTAGTTACCTGGGTTCTAGTGAGGAGTCGTGGTCAGTGGAGTACAGCAGATCGGGTGTGAAGACAAATACTCGCCACAGATGACATTGGCTAGTGGTCCCACTATATCGTGAATTGACAGAAGCTGGAATTCATGGGCTATTCGATCGAGCCCCACTGGCTTAGTGGTCTATGAGCTCGCCTTGTGACTAGGAGGTCCTGGGTTCGAACCCTAGCGGTGTGTGAGTACTACTGAAGAGTCCAAAACTGTGACGAAACTGCTGTGCAGTACTCCCTGCTGGTTTTCTAATGGTTCTCCAAACCATGTCAGCTCACGATGAGGTCTTGTAAAGAGTATTATTTATTAGATAGTTGGAGGCATCGGCAGGAAGCCTTGGACCTAGGTTTCGTGCCAGTTGGCACTCACCAGCCAACAAGGCGTATTTGCAACCTTGAAGGAGTATCATTTATTCGATAATCAATCTTCTAGTCTACTTAGCTTTCATCAAAACTTAAGCATGATGTAGAATAATCAGAATATTCCATCTTCAATGAAGATGATTTATACATAATTTCATTTCAAAATCTTTCTACACTATTGGGGGAAGAGATAATCCACACTTTCTCTTTTCTCCACTGTAAAACGCTTAATTATAAAAAAAACAGGTTACAAGATTGACCTGATTATAATTTTGGCAACATTAAAAAAACAAAACATAAAATGTCAGATGGGCATACTTCATACTTCACACAAAACATGATCTTGGGAAAATGGAATGCTATTTCACTTTTCACATTTAACTATGCCTAAATAATCTTGATTCCCATGTATAAGATTGCTGTTGTTGTTTTAGTATATGAGCGTTATATTAGATTCACTTTACTAACCAACTCTTAAACTAGCGTGTGTTCGATATACTTCAATTAATTCACCTGATTCACTCTCATAGTATTAAATTACCTTGCTTTTTATTGAATATAACCACATAATTAAATTATTCAAACTATAACGATATATGATATATGTCGTGTATCTGAAGTGAGGAGCTTTTCTGTTTTACTACACCAAACTAATACAAACAAAAGAAGGCGGAAAATACAAAAAGAATCTTCAATGTGGGCAAACAGAACGTTAAATAGTTAATAGAAAGCAAGTGATGAAGTCACTTGTTCGAGTACCTGAAACAGAAAGAGTTTTAGTGTTGAGTGATCGCAGAGATCAATGGATAACTGCTTAAGGTCAGTCACACACGGACTGTTTGAATTGGATTTTTGAGTTGTGTCCATATTAAGATCTGACCACTGGCTACAGGACTGCCATAAGGTGATAAGTCAGGATATATAATTTTCGGGGTCGACCTATTCCAGCCCGTATCTCTACAGAGGATAGGATAGGCAGCATGGGTGGGGCATGATGGTCATCTTAGAGGAACACCTTACTGTTGATATCCCTGTCCACAGATCCCCAGAAGAGTGTAGACAACTTACATTATAACGGTAATAACTTTTAGTTTGACAGCTATCCATAGTAGGATCTGCAGGAACATTAGTAACAACAACGCCAGTGTACCTCGCTGTGTTAGTGAGATATGCAAGCCTGACTACCACGTCAAGGTAGCAGCTTTTGGTCAGGATACTAAGAACCAATGGTTAGAGATTTGTTGGACACAGGACTCAAAACCATTCTCAAGGGCACGGATACATTCACGTTTTTTGTGATCTCTCATATCTATTAAAGTGTCAAGTGTCTTCCTATGTTATTATTCTTTCTGCCTTACATTTCTGTTTATTATACTACTTTTGAGTTTCTTTTTGCTCTCTTCTGTTTAAGTTTCGGTGCTATACAGAGAAAAATGTGGCAACTTGAACTGGTGTATTTTTGTGCATAGTTGTGCATGTTGAAACTCACTCAGTCAGAAAAAGGTCACTACTGATTACCTCTTCAAAGTTTTCGGTTGTCGACTTAAAGGTAATACTATTTTTTTTAAAACATTTATGTATGATCCTAGCAGTAAAGCCGTAGTAAAATAAATGGATTTTATCGTCTTACTCTGTGATCTAAGATGATGTAACACATTTAACTCATTATAGATTTAACACTGATCAACCACCATGACAACCAAGAAACATTCAGTCGTCTGAAGTTAACACAAGAGGCTATTTTTAAGACAGTTGTTGACAATGCTTGATCAAGTGATTGCAATATATATATATATATATATATATATATATCCTTAAGAACTGGTATAAGTTAGAATATGAAGAAATAGTTTTAGGCTCTTAAAAGCAGTGTGCACGCATAATTAAATCCCACCAAACTGATTAATTTAAAGATGAGTATCCTGTGAAATTGATATTCCTAATTGTGGTGGACTGGATTATGCGTCAGACAGTGGGAAACGAGAAGACAAGGATATCCTGGACCGACGCGAAGAATCTAGAAGACCTGGATTTCGAGAATGATTTATATTTGATGTCACACAAAATCGAAGACGTACATGGGAAAACCGACAAACTGGTCGAAGAAGCAACAAAGACAGGACTCCAGGTGAACATAGACAAAACAGAGATTATGAAAATAACTAACCAACAACAACAACAACACCAGCAACACCCACCGCCAATCACCATCAACGGGAGGGATTTGAAAGAGGTTACTTCATTCACTTCAATTATCTAGGGAACATTGTCTCAACTACAGGCAGGTGGAACGGACGAGGATGTCAAATCGAGAATCGGGAAGGCGAGAAACACATTCATCAACCTGAAACCAATCTGGAAATCTTCGTCACTCAGCCTGCATCAACAACAAAATTCGGATTGCCAATACAAACGTCAAGTAAGTCAGTTCTTCTATACGGATGGATCAGAAACTTGGCGAGTCACCAAGAATATTTCCAACAGCCTGTTGCAGACCTGTATCAACAACAACTGTCTTCGTTCTATACTCAAGATCAAATGGCTGGAAAGAATCACCAACAAGAGACTATGGGAAGTAACAAAACAAGAACCAATTGCTCAACAAATATGCAGGAGAAAGTGGAGATGGATTGGACACTCGCTGAGGAGGCCGTTGGGTGACATCGAGCGTCAAGCCATTGCTCGAGTGGAACCCGAAAGGGAAGCGGCGAGTGGGATGTCCAAGGGTGTCATGGAGGAGATCGTGTGAAGAGGATCTGAAACAGTATGGACTAACATGGATGCAAGTGAAAAGTACAGCGGAAGACAGAAGCAAGTGGAGACGTGTAGTTGAAGCCCTATGTTCCACTGGGAACCAAAGGGAACAATTATAATAATAATAATCCTGTGAAATTCTAATAGGATATTTACGAACAATGGGAAGATAAGTGGCCCAAACTAGGACGAAACTGATATCGAGTACTCTCTGCTGGTTTTCGATATCACTCTAACTGACATCAATCCGTGGTCAAATTTGAAATTACGATAGGTGTACCCTGCCAAATGGATAGCAAATAGCAGTAGTAGTATAAATTATGAACTGTGAAAGAAGTTGGAACACACATAGATCATGAGATTTCAACACAATGGCTAAATGATAAAATAATTTCTCTCGTAAGCTGAAGGTAAGGTATTAGGTGGTGCCGAAGGTGCGTACCTCTGAAAATGATTTCAAACTAAAGCAAAAAAAGTGTGTACTGCAACAGATTGTTAGTATGACAGTCCACCAGTCAAATATCCCTTCTATATAGCCATTTTTGAGTTATGTTGCCATTTTCCTTTGATTATTAGTTATCTTGATGTAAATACTTACCACTCAGCATTAACTATATGTGATTTTATTGTCCCTATATAGAAGTAAACACAACTTCTTGTTATATTGTTGGAGCCTATCTGAAAGAAGCCTTCACAACAACATAGGTTTCGTGCTTTTCGGCGCCTACAAGTCAGCAAGGCGTATCTACAATCCTCAAGGAACCTATGCCCTTTCTGAGATTCGAACCCATAACACTCAGTGTTGCAGTCAGAAACGCTACCACTGAGTTACTCAGGTTTACAAGTGATCTTCAAGATTGCAGATACGCCTTGACGACAACAAGCCCGAAACCCAGGTCAAAAGTTTCTTTTCAATTGTCTTCAGCCATCTCATAATACAAAAAAAATCAGAGTGCACTTAGTCACTTCCTCGCATGGTGGCTGGTAGATTTCAGTCTCTACCAAGCAATGGACTATACACATGATATTATATACTACCTCGTGTCTAACCAAAGAATTCAAGGTGAAATGGAGATGTGCTGTTGAAGGCAGGTTCCACTAGGAACCTGAGGAAATAATAACAATAAAAGTAGTAATACTGTGGTGAGAGCTGGCTGCTAGCCAAAGTTGGTAGACAGTAATTGACATCAGTGTTTATGTCCCCAATATTGGTGGTGAGAAAATGAGAACAAAGGCTTTGCGTAGGCTGGTACAGTTGGCAAATGGATGATCTGAAACAGGCACAAAGAGATGCAAGGTTAACTTTCTGTGAAAAACAACCAATCAAAAGACTGTATTTTCTATTACCAATAATCTACAATAATGTACATAAAAATCTATAAATATGTGTTGATTTTCCTAAATAAATGATCTGTTGCCTGGCCCTTGTCTTCTGTTGTTACATTTGGTGTCGCTGCCTATCGACAAATGGAAAGCCTATGCCGAGCAGTTTTTGATGGAGACATATGGATCTTCGGGCAGGACTTCGAGGCTTCTTCGCAGTTCAGTGGCGTTCAAGATCTGTCAGCGATGAGGCTGCTACTTGGGACGCTGCTAGGGGGTCGGGAGAAAGCAGCATATGAAAGTATGAGGCGAAATACCTACGAATGTGCGACAGGGTCAGGCAAACAGTTTCCAAAGTGGGAAGGACCACTTGAAAGAAAACCGGTTACACAAATCATGTTAATCATGTCAAGTGGCCGAAATGAAGCATTAGGCAACCTGTTTCATCACTTGTCAGATACTGATCTCATCAATTATAATAATAATGGCTTTATTCCAAACGGTACTTTTGGTACAAATATGGAATTTTCAGCATGTAGTACAGCTTTGCATCTAACTTCCTCATACCAGGGGTAATAATTAAAACAGGGAATTTTCATTGATAATACTGTGCAATAAGATTATGAATATAAAACTGAGAGAAAATATTAACAACAATATAATAGTGAAAAAATTGGGCCAGTTTACTAAGAGTTCCTCAGTAAGTTAGTTGGTGATTTCCCGTATTATACTTTTCTCACCACATAACATATGTGCTAAATAAGGTATTGTAGAGTTTCTGTATTTAGTCGTCTGAGCATACAGTCTCCTATATTTGCTTCTAGTTCCACCCGATGAGATGCAGCAAGGAGAGAGTTGTGCTTAGAGAGAGGATGTTCAGAGTCTGACAAGGTAATATTCGCTAATTTCTTGGATGAGTCCATGTGTCTATCTACAACAGTATTAACAAGTTGATTTGGCGAGAACCCACTAGTTCTACTGATGACGTTTACTGAACTTCACAGTATAACAAAGTCTTTCTTAAGTAGTTCGGGAAAGATTAAGCGGCAGGGAGCAGTAAAGAAGCATAAGTAGAATAAAAGAGTTAACAAATTGTAACAGTAGAGACGAGATGATACCACACCGTCTTAATTTCCTCACATACAACGTCAAACGAAATATGTTTTGGCAACTAGCATGGTGTGGGAAGACCAGGAAAGGTATTTAACATTCTATTTAGTTTCAAATTCTGCAGTATCTATCATATTGAAACCGTAAGAAATAACCAGTTCATATAAGTCGCGCTTGTGTCTGAAAGTGAGATTAACCACCTGATATTTTAAAGGGATTAAGCTTAAGACCATTTATCAAGGGTCAATAAATAATTTCTAATAAAAATTTATTCATTTTGGAATAGTTTAACTGTGAAGTAACCACCGGTATAGAAACAGTTAGATCATTGGCATACTTAACAAAACTGACTTCGTCAGAATGGGGTAACTAAGTCATGCAAGACGAAAGAAAACAGAAAAAGAGAAGAAAAAACTCCTTGAGGAACACTGTGATTATTTACAACTCACAGAATCCAATCACTTTAAAACTACAACCATTTTGACTAGCTAGACAAACATGATTGATTGGTGACGAAATCTCAGCACGAATCCAAAAAGCTCGGGCTGCTTTCGCTAACTTACACCGTCTCTGGCGTAGGCGTGACATCCGGCTATCAACCAAGGGACGTGTGTACTGCTCAGCAGTTCGCTCCGTCCTTCTCTATGGCTCTGAAACATGGCCAATACGAGTTGAAGACATGAAAAGGTTGACTGTTTTTGATCATAGATGTTTACGATCTCTTTCTCACGTTAGGTGGTATAATAAGGTAAGTAATGTTGACGTTAGACGTAGAGTGTTGGGCAAAGAGGGAAAATCAATCGAAGAGGCTATAAAGTTACATAGATTGAGATGGCTAGGTCACGTGGTGCGCATGCCTAACCATCGCCTCCCACGACGGACGGGCATTACTAGCTGATATAGGTGCAGGTTGGAAAAGAGGAGTAAGTGGTGGCCAAACAAAAACATGGCCTCATCAATCCATGAAATCCCTGACAGTTAAACTGAGTCAGGTAGGGAGGGAGATGCAGACTTCCAGGTTGGGGCCCACCCTCGGGACTCTAAGAATCAATGGGCTGGAGACAATAGGTGACATGGCTCAAAATCGTTGTCAATGGCTTACGCAGATGTATTCAGTCTCTGTAATCTTTCATATTCCTTTCTACCATTACTCATTCTGTTTCACTCTTATACTTGTCAAAACTCTATTGATTCTCTTCACTCATCTTCTTGTCTACTTTTGTGTGCTATTTGGAACGTGGCAACTGGAACTGCTGCACTTCGGTGCGAAGTTCTATGTTGAATCCAGACAGACAGACAGACAAACATGAACTGAACTACTTTGGAAATAATTGACTTCAATTTATGGACAAGGAGACAGGGTAACAACCAAATTCAGTCTATATATATATATAACTTAAAGCACACAATAAAAGAAAATCATGTCATCAGAGTGCTTCCCGTGTATAAATAAACCGCTAAGTAAACACAAGGTTTCAGTAAATCCTTCAGTATTCAAACATGAAAACAATTTGTTTTAATAAGTTAAATGCCTCCGATAACTTTTTCGTTTTTGAATTTCCAGTGGTGTACCCCAGCTTTAGTGACTCTAATATCCTTTGAAGTATTGTAAAAATTGGAAATTTCTTTTTGGTAATGACTTTAAAACCTTGAGGCGTATAGTAAACACTATTTCACATTTTGAGGTATAGAGAAAGGAGTGGAGTATGCGAAGATTATGTTGGAGAAATCTTCAAAACAAAAAAATGCTGTTTAGTTCGTTCATGAAAACAACAAAATGCACACACACACACTAAAGACAAAATATAAGAAGGGGAGGGGGAAACCTACTTGTGTTGGTGTTTGAATTTTTCCTGATTTACTTCCATGATAAATGTATACTGCTCCGCCATTTTCTTCATAAGGGGCGCCGATTGCAAAGTCTATTATATATTTCAGATAAAAATAAATAATTACAGATGAATAGTACGAATAAACAAATGCATATATATTAATAATAATAATAAATTGTGAAAGCGAGAATCAGATGTACAACTACAGCACAGCATGATATCGACAATACAGTTAGTTATCCGGTGTCACTAGGAGAGATAACTATTTGAGGTTGGGTAGTGAAGGCCAAGAGGGTGGGGAGAAAGGTTGATGAACAAATTTTTTCTGAACACAGAAATTGGGTTGAAAAATCATTATGGTAACTGCCTTAGCTATGCTGAGCTACTGAAGATGTACCAACCTAGGAGGGGGTTGAGGTGGCGCCTTGTACAGAATTGTAAAAGCTAAATTTTAGTCAACCTTGTGCTGAGACCACAAGGTGTGCGCCAGTATTGAACTTCTGATTGACTTTACGACTCTTGTACCTAATCACGTTGGACACTAATCCAGAAGGCGACGGTAGGCTTACCAAGTCATTCTATCTATGTAATCGTCTCCACATGAATAGTTAAATTTATAAATGGTCATTGAAGTGGCCAGACCCGACAGCATATCCTTCACCTGCGTTGGAATTATACAACGAGTTGCGAATTTTAAACACAGTGTTGCGGCAAAGAATGTTTTAGTTAATTATTTTTTGAAGTTTCGATGCCAGTAATTCAGTTGCTGCATCTCCTTTAAACGGTAAAGTCATGTATCTGCGTTTTTTTATCTGCACTGTTTTCTTCATGGAGAATTTTCAAATTTTTCAGGGTCTCCGTTCTCATAAAATAAGTTTTCTATTTTCCTTATTTCGTCATCTATAGTGTTGATTGTGAATATGATTAACATTTGACTTTGTAACTGATGAGAATTTACCGAAAATACGTATTTACTTGTGCGGTTAGGACGCTCGCCAACCATGCACACGATCTGAGGTTCGATCGCCGGCCACAGGCGCACTCTTTTACCTCGCTAAGCCAGTAATAGAACTGGCAAAGAGGGAAGGTTAGGCATGAAACTGGCGACTCTATCCTGTAAAAATAATAAACTCTGCTACAGAAACTTCAAGCCTCTAGCTTGAAGCTGCCCTATGTTCACCTGGGAACGTGAAGGAATAAAAAAGAAACGTATTTACTTAAATTGTGCTGTATAATTATCATTATGGGAATATTTAAATTATATATATATATATTTCTAACTGTGAAGTCAGCCACTTTTAGTGCTTCAAAATTTGCGAAGAAACGCCAAGCGTTACAAGCAGTTAATGCTATGTGACTGTGTTTCGCAGCCATAAGGCAGGAAAGAGTTCAGTAATCTTTTTTTGGATAATCCATTGAAATGATGAGTAATGATCAGATTCTTAAAATTGGAAATTGTAAGCCTATGTTACATTATACATAATAATAATACTCAAGTATTGGTTTTGTAGAGAATTTTAAATGATTGATTGGAGGATTTCATCATAAGTTGACATCTGTTTCACCAACCCAGTTTGGGACTCTTCATCAGTACGCACCCACCGGGATTCGAACCCAGGAACTTCTGGTTACAAAGCGAGCTAGCTCGTAGACCGTTAAGCCACTGGGACCCGATGCTCTGATGCTTACTAGTGACTGGTCCTATTCAGGCAGTTACCTGGGGTTCTAGTGGGAAGCCGTGACCAGTAGGGCACAGCAGGTTGAAGGTAAGGCAGTAACTCATTGAAGGAGATATTGCGAACTGGTCGCACCATGTCATGGATTGGCAGAAGTTAGAATTCACGGGCCATTGGATTGGGTCCCAGTGGCTTAATGGTCTACGAACTCACCTTGTAACCGGATGGTTCTGGGTTCGAGCCCTGGCGGTGGGTCCGCACTGATGGAGTCCCAAGCGAAGAGGACGAAATAGCTGTCCAGTAGTCCCTGTTGGTTTTCTAATGGCTCTCTAATTGATGTGAGCTCATGACGAAATCCTCCAACCAATAATAATAATAATAGCTTTATTCTGAACACTGTTTATATAATGTAAAGAATTTTCAGCGCAGTTTACTCCACGATATTTCCTCTTCATTCAGGATCTTCAAATAGAAGATTAATTGACAGTAGATTGTGTGACACAGTTCTGTCTGACCTGTAGCGCAAACCACTCCACCATTATGATATCTCTTCTTTTTCTCCTTTGAAAAACACACGACGACACTTTGTTGAATGTCGGTTGGAAAAATTTCAAGAGTATATTCTGTGAACCAAGGATACCACTTTAGAACGGTCATCTTGTGTACTGGTATAAGCTGCCATTAAATGATAATGCTCTTCCACATGCTTAGTAGAAACTTGTGAAACCGCAAACAGTGAACATTTTAAATACTTGCGAGAGTATATAATACTATTAGAGGTCAAATTTTACTAGATTTAAACAAACTGGATAAAAGAAATTATATGCAATATACTGATGGAGGTTTTCGATAGTCCATGGTTTAAGCAGGCCGCCATTACACTAAGATACAAAAAAAACTAAGGTGTAGTGTGTTAAAAAATATTTGGAAACAAACACTGCACCCTACTGATAACAGCTAAAATTATTCACAATAATAAGTGAAAGAAAAAAATCTCCAATACATTTTCCATTGAAATTTATTTGCATAGTTAAAAAAAACACATACCTTGAAAGCCATCATGATTGATATCACCAAGTTTTGTTATAGTCGCTCCAAACCCAGGAATCGGTGAATTTCCACAATTATGAGATGGTGGTAAGAGTAATTGAAAAGTCTCCGGAAAATCATAACTAAACAGTTTCAATTCACTGATTTCATCTATTGGTGTATAAAAATAGCTTTGTCTATTTAAAAATATGAACACAGCTCCGTGTCTTCTATGCCCACCATCAGTAGCATTTGAATAGTGATATGGTGCACCGACGATGAGATCATCCCAACTAATTTACAAACACAAATGTAAAAAAATCGAAAGGAATTTAAAACTGTTTGATAGAACTATGTGCATACATATGCATTCATTCCTTCGCATTCTGATTGGAACATTGAGCTCCAAGCTTAGAACTCTAAAGTCTGGATAGCGCTGGTATTGTTTTTATAAGGTGAAGGATGTTGCCCAAATGCCAAACCTTACTTCTTTACTGGGCTTGCTACAGCCTAACCAAGGTTTCGGAGTGCGCCGGCAGAGATGGGGAACATTTTACCCTGGAACCACTTTTGCATCGATAAACAAAGTTACCTATTTGTAATTTAGTAATGGACACTTTCGAATTTACGTTGACGGGAATATTCAATACAGGGAAGTTGAAGTGTACGCTTACATTGTGTATTAACACCTGAATACCAGATTATATCAGTCACTCAATCGGTTCTCAGTTACACCATTATTTTACAGACACAAATATTCATATCTTATTATAACATTCTACACTTTAAGAATCTGCTATCTGCCAGTATTATTGTCATTACTGTTGTTAAAAGTGTTTGTCATTTTCTGCATTGTGTAGGTTATTAACTCTCTAGTTTACAATTTGGAGTGTCCACTTCTATTTCATATGCTCTCGCAAATTCCTATATACCTTCTATACCATTTCTGCCCAGTTCTTTCACAATTTGAACAGCGGACAACATTCCGTGTCCTAATGGTTATTCTTTCTTTCATCGAAAGAAGACACATCGACTGACTGACTGACTGACTAACTGACTTCTCGAAGGCTTTCTACCAGGCTGTTTTTGAATTTTCTGTAGCAATTGTGTTGATTGCCTGAGGTGGGGTCGCCAGCTCCGGTTTCGAGCGAATTGGTAAACTAGTGAGTTGGTAAATTAGGCAAGATGTAGAAAGTGAATAAGAAACGGTAAGTTTCGTGTCTCACAGTGATATGGAGAAGGTTGTGTTGAGAAGGAGGAGATGAAAGCTTGTTGGCAGTCGTGAAGCCAGGAAAAAGGATTTCAGAGAACAGGATGAAATGTAGATGTGCTGCTGCAGTCATATGCTGCACTTGGAATAATACGGATCCTCTTGGTTTACACTGGGTTTATCTTATATCTACATTATTTGATTACTATTCACTAATGTGACTATTATGTTTAAACTACACTGTTATTATTATTTCTTATCATGTCAGTGAATTTCATTCCCTCATAGATGCGTATTGGCCAAACATTATATGTGCATTTAAAGGAGATTGAAAACTAACTATTATTCTGTACTTCTGCTTATATCCCCCAATATGGTTTCTGATATAATTCAATCTGCATTTACTAGCAAATGTATGCTAACACTTAATAGATTCATGACAGGTAGAGACTGAAGAAGTTATTGAAAACAATTGTTCTCTCTCTAACTATTCTTTTATTAAATATGTTATTATATAATGCTAAGGAATGAATAAAGTTAGAATTCCTGGGTCATTGAATGCAGCTCAAATGGTTGAATCACCAACGAGCTTAGCCTCGTAACATGGAGGTACAAAGTTCGATCCGTCGTTAGGGCTGTGTGACAGTACTGATGAAGTGTCCCAAGCTGGGACAAAACAGATGTCCAGTAGTCTTCAACTGGTGTCAATCGGTGACCAAACTTGAAATAAATCAAATCCCTACCAAGTAAGTTTATTGATAAGTTTTCGTCTTCCTGTACGATAAACTCACTCGACTTTCACAAACTGAAGCAAGATATGAAAATCATCGTAGTTTCAACATTCGATGCCTACAAAATGAAACCATTCCTAAATATCTACGTCTACGAGCTCCAGTTCCAACGGAAAGAGTTAGAAGCATAATAGAAGGCCTACAAAAATTATGCCTGAAAGAAGAGATCCATAGAATCGTTAAAAAGTTACAGCATATCAGATATGAAATTGAGCAATTAAAACAAAAGCTAAAAGGAATAGTTACCAATGTAGATTATGATCTTATAACACAATCCTCCAGCAATCCAAAATCAGCAACTTTCAAAAAGTCAAAAAATAGTCAAATCAAAAAGTTCAACAAGTTATTAGAAGAGAAATCTTCATCTCAGAATGATGAAGTCAACAATCCAAAGTCAACGGCGATCGATAAATCAAAGTGGGTTATCAATCTCTCAACGCATATATTAAGTCCTACGGAAATAAGTGTATTAGAAAAGGGACTAAATTTCAATATATCAGTAGACAAGCTGAAACCTGAGGATGTCATCTCTAAAATAGAAATAGTAC